TGGTCACAACCATATAGAAATATGTTTCTATATTAAGAATAATCACAGAAAAAGAACTGTCATTCTTTAGAAACAATTGTTTAAACCCCCATGGATTATATACAGTAACATGGTGCATATCATTTTATTGGTTATCTCAATAAAAATAAATAAAAGCATTGCTGAAATGTCAGGAACAATGCACATAATATTTTTTGTGTAACATTGGCATAATTAATGAATTTCCTCCAAGATGTTATAAAAGTGTACAGCACTTTCAATGAGATCTTGCAAAATTTTGACCTATATTTATTTATCTTTTGCTAATTATTGTTTGAGAAGCAATAAAATTTGTATCTGTGAACTTGTAGTCTAGGTTGTCAAATTCCCTGCGGTGGAACTTTGATTGGTCCATCTCTTTCAATGTTATAATACTTACTTAAAGTATTTAAATTTGGGAAGACATTTTAATTTACCAAGATGAGAATTTTACTTTGGGTTCAAGACTTCATGTCTTTAAATTTGCCACTAATGCTCATATTTAAAATGATATTCTGTTAGTTTTCTTAGGTGAAAACTATAGTGAAACGGTCATATTGAAGAACATTAAGAGATTATTTTAAGAAACTACGGATAGTTTTAAAGCATTATATTAAGAAACTATGGAGTGACGGATCCTGATTATTTTTATTTTCTTTATATTAAAAATATGCTTAAAATGAATATATTGTATATTTAGCGATTCTTAAAACTACCATGAATTTTTTTAATTGAAGGATGTGATCAGTATAAACTAAATAAATGGATGAACTGATAAATACTTACAATGCTGGATTCAGCTCAATAGTTTTAAATTTCCTAAGATTAACCTTAAAGATCAGTTTTACTTCCAAGAATGTATCTTTAGACATAGAGCAAATTGTTCTGTTTTTCGGAAGTGTTTCCACATGCTCAGAAAGAATCCGTGTGTGTGTATGTGTGTGTGAGAGAGAGAGAGAGGGAGGGAGGGAGGGCAAGCAAGAGCGCATTAGATTGAAGCAAACTGGTAAGTATGTCATCGCAGACAATATGTTCATGTCATCATGACAATGTTAGCCATTTTGTTAAGGGGTAGGATTCAGCAGTTGTGCTGGCCAACTATCCAAACATTTCCTAAAGTCTAAATATAGCCACTAGCGCCAAAAGATTAATAATCAGTATTATAAAGCAGCAACCTTGCAGTTCAGAACATGAAACATGAGATACAACAGTGTACACATGCACACACAAGCAATTGTATGTAATACTTACATTAAAATATTTAATGAATAAATGCCAGAATTCCTCCTTTAATATATTAACATTACAATTGATAATTAATAAGCACATATAAAAGGATGGCGTACAGCAACGTCTGAATTTAATGTTTAAAGATATTCTTGTAATTTACAATTCTGTTTTGTAAAAGGAAGATTTTTTTTTCATCAACATTCCTCTAGGCATATTACCTACAATGGTAGAATTCAGTTATTATGGCTTCATTTAGATTCTGTGATCTTACATTTGTGCAGAAATAAAAGTTTGAGAAGATTCATAGCGTGTCTATTTCCACATAGTTAGAATTATTTTGGAAACCCTACTTTATAATATATTGATTTTTTTTTACTTATTTACTTAATTTTCTGGTTGTTTCTTAATTATTAAGTGTGCACCTAATTAATTATATTCCTAAATATGTACAAATTCTTTACTATTTAGCAAAAAGCATCACCTTCTTCTCTCCAGCTGTGCAGCATATTAAACAGTGCAATCCTGGTCAAGTCTGCCTAAAATGGAACACTACTTTTCATTATATAGGATTGCAACCTTAAGCTTGATTAATACTAAAAATGTAAACATTTTTCAAGAAAATTGCATCTGATAATTTTTTTCTTCAATTGTAGCCAGTTCTCAGGAGACTGCTTAGACAAGTTCCTGCAGTTTTCTTGGCAAACTTTCAGAAGTAGTTTGCCATTGCCTCCTTCCTATGGCTGAAATAAATTGAATCGTCCAAGGTTACCCAGCTGGCTTTATGCCTAAGGTGGGCCTAGAATTCAAGGTTTCTATATTTCTAGCCTGGTGTCTTAACTACTAAAATGGCTCTCCTAATAATTTAGTTACATATAAAAGATGAATAATACTTCTCTTAATTTATGTTCCCTATAATATTTTTTCTCAGGAGAATATAAACTATATGGCAAAAAAGTAATTAATTTTGAGTATCAGAAAAAGAACAAAGGGAAAGAAAAGTCCTTGATATGTGACTCATCTTGTAGCTTTTGCATTTGGCAGCTTCTCCTAAAATTTTCTGAAATAAGACATTCACATTCACTCAAAGCTGTTAAGTGGCCGATGAGAACTTAGGCTGAGCAAAGCATTTTAGTCAGTACTTGTGTATTTAGGCAAGTAGAGCTTTGCAAAAAAATTTTTGTTGTATTGCATTGGAAGATGATTAAAAGCAACTTTTTGCTTCCCTAGAATTATCTCTATTCTATAGGAGAATATTTGTAGCTTAGGGGCCTTAGTGCTTTCTGAATTTGGTTATTTTCTTGCAGATGTTTCATTACCCAAATTAGATAACATCAATGCTAGTGTTATCAGTGATGTTGCCTATGATATTGCCTAGTTTGGATAATGAAACATCTGCAAGAAAACTATCAAGCTTAGAGAACACCAGATGCCTCTTTACTTCTCTGTCAGACTGATATACATGGAAGTTAGCCTAGTAGCTAACTTATTATCTGTTGCACATTCAAGAAAGATGCAAAAGTTAATACAAGAAAGTGAGAATCCCTTAGTTGTTTAATGTGTGAGAAATATCCTTTCTTCTGTGAGAATGAAGTTGCTGGCACAAAAAAGAACTACAGCAAATACAACTGAAAATGAGACGAGTACTATTAACTAAGACTAATTCCACATGCCCATTGGCAGTTTCTCTGGATTTTTGTGTTTGAAAGTTTCATTTTTGGGGAATATAATGGGATCCTAACAACATTGTCCAGTCATCAAGTAAAGAGGGGCTACTATGGAGACCTTACCCCTTTCCTAAGAGGTCTGTAGGGGCGTGCATAAGCGCACCAACGTGCCTACTGTCCCTGTCCTATTGTTTCTTTTATTTTTCTTATATGTATCCATGTATTCATAACTATGTTTTTACTTATACCTATTATCCTGTAAGCAATTGACAAACCAAATAAAAAAAATAAAAAAATCTGATTACTCTGCTTATGAAAAGAATATTAATGTAAGTGATCAGCTGCCTACATCTTCCTGTAATATTGGTGAACCCAAAAGATTTTTGAGTTTGTAAACTAAATACTATTTAGGAGCATTAGTTCAGTGTTTTGAAGCTGTGAGTTGTAGCTGTTTTTGATTTTAATTATGTATAAGGAATGGAGCATGCTATTAAACTTTTGTTCAGTATCTGCTGCCCCCAAATGCTAGGTTGCTAGCAGTGCTCATAATGAAAACAGTATATTCTTATTTGAAGTCAACCACAGTTTCTAGCCCATGACAAGCTTGTCTTGTCAGTATCTGCCTAAGTGTGCCAGGTGATAGCATTGACCTAACAGTGGAAGGAGAGAAAGAAAATGTGTCTGTTAAATTGATGCATTACTGCAGGTCTTACAAAGCATGAACCTAACCATATGCTTTAAATGTTCTTTCCAGTCACAATAAACTTCATTAAAGATTAATTAATTACAAATTTTGTCAGCAAAAACGTATAGAATATTTTTTGGAAGAACTTTGAATATTCCCAATAGTATTAGTGAAATCTGAGAGAACTTCCTGCTCCTTTTCTATATGAGTATTTTGGAATAGACAATTGACACCACAGGACTCATGGCTGCTTATTGATATTGTAGATTCTTCTATGATTACCATCACACCAAATGTTAGTTTGTAAAACGTACAGGGCAGATTTTTATATATTATTTGTTTATAAATAATTTCTTTACGATACATCATTCTTCATTCATGCAATTTATACAGACACTGTTGATATTATCTTCCCTGAAAAGTTTTAAATACATGTAGTATCTACTCTATTGCAAATCTTCAGTTGACTGATTCAATGATTCCTTAGCATATTTTCAGTCCACTTGAGGCATAGAATGTTTTTCTACAGAAGCACTTAGCCAATTAATCTTTGTCTCAGAAGTATCACAAACATTGATGTTCTGATGTTAATATGTTCATAAATGGTCTCCAAGAAATATAATCCAATATACAAATGGAAATATAAGTAAGCACAATAGTGAAATGGGATTTGAAGGTAGCTATCTGGGGTATAGTATCATATTTATAGAAACTTTTTCAATCTTTTGTCCAATGTACAGTACATGCTCACTGGGAATTTGGGGAGTTGACACTCAGGAAGACTCTAGGATAGAGTAGTTTCTGTCAAAAAGGAGTCTATTTCCAGGTGGAATAGAGAGAGACAAAATATAGCTTATTTTCAGATTGTGGCAAAGCAGAACTTTTGATGTATGGAGAAAGAATAAAAAAACAAAACTTCACTCTGTGCGATCCTGGGAAGAAAACTTTTTATGGCCAGTATGTCTCACAAAGGCATACTTGATCAACACAGAGGAAGAATCTGAAATAGGCAGTTAGGGCAGCAGGAACTATTTAGTGGAAGGTGCCCAAAAGGCAAAGATGGGGAAAAAACAAACAGGTTGGGGAACTTGAAGCACCCTTGGAGTCGTGAATGTGGGCAGGGTATCAAGTATCTGGATTTTGATCATGAGATTGTAGCAGCACTCCAGTGGCAGTAATTTTGGCACCAGTTTAGCCATAACTTATATAAGTCAAAAACTAACTGTAATCTAATGGACACTTTTAAAAATAAGCTATTAAATAAAATTACTAATTTCCTCTCTGTGTTCTCTCTATGTTTGGCATGTATAATACTTATTCAAGATCTGTTGAATTTAGGTAATCAAATAACCAAATTTAGATAATTAAATAACCAAATTTGAATTGCTTTTTCCTGCCTCCAGCTGTCAGAAATGACAGGAACAAAAAGAAAAAGGAGCCTTTAAAGCAAGAGCTCTTGGAGAATTATGAAATGACAGCAGAACTGGATGATCTCACTGAGAAAATCAGAAAATCTCACCAGGAAACATTCCCTTCACTCTGCCAGCTAGGCAAATATACAACGGTAACAGCTATTATAAACTTTTATGTCATGCTATGTTTGTTTCATTTCATTTCATTTTATTATGAGGACTGGAAGATTAGATGGAATATCAGAATTAGAGAAATTAATTGCTCTATAAAAACTCTGCCTATTTTAGTACAATCACATGCATTAAAATAGTATCCTTTTACACAACACTGATCTATCTTGGATAATCCAGTAAAAAACTGAACAATAGTATTTAGTTGATGGACCAAAAATAAATAGAACAAATTTGTACTTGTAAACAAATTCTTGTAATTGATAATAGTAAATCAGTTAAACAAAAGTATCTCTTGGGTATAGCATATGTGTTAGAGTGGAAATAGGAAATTTCCATGGTTTTATTTCATTTTACTGGAAAATGGTAAAAAAATAATTAATCTGGATCCTTTTGATAAAAGAAATACCATTTTTAAAGTGGAAATGTAAGGAAGAAAAGTAAAAATTTAGGTGTTGAGTTGCAAAGTATAATTCAGTGTCCAGTGGATAAATAACAAAGTAGCCAATTTCCCAATAAGAATATGTATATGTACCCATAATTGAAGTTAGTAATACACTTTGCATATACAATATTATATATACATGCCCCATGTTTCTCCAAAAAAACAAACCTTGTAAAGAAGCCCTATCATGTTTTGAGCATATGTGACCAAATTAAGCCCCACCCACAAAATTAGCCCTAATTAAGACCCTGCCCATCCCGGGGTGCATGGGGTGGGGTGAAGCACATAGGAAAAAATAAGCTAGAGTGGGAATGGGGGTGTGGAGCTGCCCTACTTACCAGGCCTCGCACACTCTGACATCTGTCTCGCCTTCTGCGGCCACTTGCTGCCACTCACACACATAGCCCTGGCCTCTGTTTCATCTTCAGATTATTTACTCACCTTGCGGTAGTGGCACTGACAGCCCTGTCCAGCAGGAGCCGGTTGCTGGCCCACATCTTCATTGCCACCACTCGCATGCATCGCCCTGGCTTCAGATGCCTTCCAGAAAACCCTCTGCAGCTGATAATAGAGCTCTGCAAATGCCTTCCAGAAAGCCCTCTGCAACCGATAATAGAGCTCTGGATTGATACTCTATTATTGGCTGCAGAGGGCTTTCCGGAAGTCATTTGCAGCGGATAACAGAGCTCTGGATCAATCCGGAGCTCTGTTATGGGCTGCAGAGAGCTTTCCGTATGGCATTTGCAGAACTCATTATCGGCCGCAGAGGGCTTCCGGAAGGCATCTGAAGGCAAAACAGAGGCTGGGGCAGTGCGTGTGAGTAGCGGCAAGGGCCGCAGAAAAGTGAGCCAACAGCAGGCTTCTGCTGGGCGGGGCTATCAGTACAACTGCCATGAAATGAGTCAATAATTAGAAACCTCCAAAAAGAAGGCCTAGCTGTTTTGGGGGGAGGTCAAAAGAAAATAAGACCCGGCCTTCTTTTTGAAGAAACACGCTATTATAGGTATTTTGCCAGACTGCTAAAAGTTAGTAGCAGAATAGGATACTATATAATCAAGTCCGTTCAAGAGGATAAAATGAAATAAATCCTGGGAGTCAAACAAGGTAAGAATTGAAGATCAAAATCTTGAGCAAGTAAGAACTAGGAAGAAAATAAGAATCAATTAATTAATTTTTATTTGGTAACTAGCAAATAAAACAAAAAAAATCACAGTTAATTAAGATAAAAAGAAAACCACACAACCTTCTAAAATATTTAAGAAAAATTTGGAAGAGGTGCTTAGGTGTACTGTACAATCTATAGACCTGTGATGGAGAACCTATGGCATGCGTGCCAGAAGTGGCACGCAGAGCCATCTCTCCAGGCATGCCAGCCATCTCCTGTTGCTCTTTTGGGTTCTGGCATGTGCATGCGCGCCAGCTAGCTGGTCTTCCCACATGCATGCATGCCAGAAACCGGAAGACCAGGTGGCTGGCAGGCATGTACGCTGGAAACTGGAAGATCAGCTTCCCAGCACGCACATACGAGCTGGGGAGCTGCTCTTCCAGTTTATCACGCTCCCCTGCGTATGCGCTTCCGTTTTGGCACTCGGTGTCAAAAGGGTTCGCCAACACTGCTATAGATCAATACTTAGCTGTGGACAATAAAATGAAATCAGATTTTTCAGATAGTAATAACATAAGATAGAATGAGTCAGGATGTTTAGTGAAAAATGGACATCATTATGCATGGTGAGCACCTCCATAGACAGAACAATATGAAATAACATATTCCATCATTTCAATTATTCCTCCACAGATGAATCCAGTCTTTGTTCAAAAGGGATATTTTGATATTTCTCTTTGATGATTAGCTGCTTGGAGGAAAGTATCAGTTCTGAAAGGATTGAATCTCTTTATGCATGTTACATATACTCCCAAGAAATATGGTTCTATAAGTGGTTTTTTTTTTTTTTCAAAAGGCAACTGAACATCACAAATGTAAACATTGTTTCACCCGATTTGTACATGAGCATCAGTGTTTTGTGAGTTTTTATGAGGTTTTGTTTTCTCTGTCTGATTCAACTGTGGGAGTCGGAATCTCATAGGGGAACCAGATCTTTTCTAGCATCGTGAAGTTTCTATTGTGACTTACCAGCCTCGTCTTTCTCTAATAAGGTGGGGTGTATGTTTGAAAAAACAGTTGAGAAAAACTGAGAACAGTTGACCTATTTCTCTGATGGATTGTGGTCTGTGATTAGTTGTCACAAAAAAGATGAATTTCAGAAAGTCCAGTTTGATGTACAGATAGTCCTTGACTTATGACCATTCATTCAGTAACTGCTCTAAATTATGACAGTACTGAATGAAGGGACTTAAGACCTTTGTCTAAAATTAGGACTATTGTAGTGCCTTTGCACACATGATAAAATTTGAGGTGCTTGGCAGTCAGCTCACACTTATATTTCAAGGGTGCTACAACTCTCCCACATGCCTATCTTTGCCCCCATGTTGGCAAATAAACCCGGCTTACTAGCATGTACAAAGCTGATAGAATTGGAAGGAACCTTAGAGGTCTTCTAATCCAACCACTTACTCAAGCAGGAGACCCTATACCATTTCAGACAGATGGCTGTCCAGTCTTTTCTTAAAACTCTCCAGTGATGAAGCATCTACAACGTCTCAAGAAAAGCTATTCCACTGGTTAATTGTCCTCGCTGTTAGGAAGTTTCTCCTTAATTCCAGATTGCTTCTCTCCTTGATTAGTTTCCATCCATTGTGGCTTGTTTTGCCTTCTGGTGCTTTGGAAAATAAGTTGACCTCCTCTTCTTTGCCGCAGCCCTTTAAATATTGGAATACTGCTATATGTCACCCCTAGTCTTTTTCTCTAGACTAGACATATCCAATTCCTGCAACCATTCTTTGTATGTTTTTGTCTCCAGGCTTTTAATCATCTTAGTTGTGCTTTGCATTTTTTCTAAAGTCTCAACATCTTTTTTATAAAGATGGTTTATAAAATGGTGACCAAACATGGTTTTATACAGATGGTTTTATAAAGTGGTTACCAAAACTGATGAAGTATTTCAGGTGTGGTCTTACAAAGAATTTATAAACAGTACTAATGCTTTATGTGACTTTGATTCTGTGCTTCTGTTTATTCAATCAAGGATTGTATGAGCTTTTTTGCTGCTGCCATACACTGCTGGCTCATGTGTTTAAGTGATTATCCACTAGGTCTTCAGGGACCCGCTTACTGTTACTGTTTCTTTAGCTGGGTTTTGCCTAATCTGTACTTGTACCTTTGATTTTTCCTGCCTAAGGGTAAAACCTTGCTTTTCTCTGCATTAAATTTCATGTTGTTGGATAGGGTACATTGTTCAAGTCTGTCAAGATTTTTTTGGATCCTGAGCTTGTCTTATGGGTTGTCCTGCCAGCCATCAACAAATTTTATGACTTCTCCTTCTATTCCCTCATCTAAGTAGTTTATGAAGATATTGAAGAGTACTGGGCCAAAAATGGAACCTTATGGTACTTCCCTTCATGTAGATATAGTACCATTAATCATTAATCCATTTGATGGTGTTGCTGTCTATCCCACATTTTTCTAGTTTACCAAGAAATAGGTTGTGGTCTTCTTTGTTGAAGCTTTGCTTGAAGTCTAAGTATGTGATATCCACAGCATTTTGCTGCTCTACTAATTTAGTCATTTTGTCAAAGAATGAAATAAGATTGGTCTTATTTATTAATTTTTATTTTATTATTTATTTATTATTATCCCCTAAAATTGAATCTCCTATCATCATTATTTACCTTTTTTCCTTATGGGAGTCTGGAAGTCAGGATCTTACATGCCACATAACATGGGATCATGGTCTGATTCAAAAGGAAATGAGACAGAAAGTTCTCAAAGAATGGGTGTACTGTCTTTTGGCTCTGACCCTACTTGTGTCTTGTTTCAGTCCTACTGATCATTCTATTCCCAGCAGGTCATTGGACAGTTTGAAAAAGGTTGCTCAGGCTTGGCTTACAGATTCAGAAATCTGTATCTCCTCTTAATGTAAACCTCAGTGTGTTTCATTGGGCAAGTTCAAATCAGTAAAGAAAAGTTAGTTTGGTCTAATGGTTAATGCACCAAACTAGAAACTGAGAATTCTAGTTCTGTCTTAGTCATGAAAGCTGCCTGGGTAACTTTGGACTACTCATTCTCTCACCTCATCTCATCTCATAGGGCTGTTGGGCAAAAACATAGTTATGATGCAACTAACAATTTTCAGTTGGAGTCTCTCCTGATTTAGCATGGCAGTAAAAGCAACAAGGTAATTTTGTGCTTTATTCACTGCCTTTTCTTTTCAGTTTGCATAATAGTCAAATTATATTTATGCTTAGTTAGAGCTAGTCATTGGCTCAGACATAGATGCATCTAACTTTCTTGCAGGACTGGTAGGGAAGCATGATAAAGAGATCTGCTGAAGAGTTCATTCCCACTAGCTGGTTTCATACAATTTTTTTTCAGATGGATGCCTTATTGTGGAATAAATTTCAAGCTCTAGGCTCTGCTTTATTCACATCTTCATTGCCGTTTTTCTAGGAAAGTGAATATAAATTGGCTATTGTTTTTAATTGCAGCCCAAATCACTACACATCTTGATTTTACCCCCCCCCCTTCCAAACCCCCCCCCCCCCCCCATGTACAGCATTTCACCAAGGTCCTTGAGGTTATAAAGTATATCTTTATAGAATGCAGAATCCTGAAAAGGGAATGTACCAAGTCATCAAAACAAAACCTATTATCACACCCACCCACCCACCCCATGTAATGTTGTACCTCTAGAATACAGTCTGCTAGATAAAATCCAACATTGGAATTCAATTCTCTGTACAATATATGAAGGAAACTGTAGAAGTGAAATGTGGAAGTATTTAGTACCATTTTATCTTACCTTCTGCATAGGTGTCATCTATGTTTCCTGAATATGACAAATGGTTTGGGTTTTGTTTTAAAATGAGGAAAAAAAGAACTAGCTCAGACATGGACTCTCTCTCAATTTACTTTAGTGTAATGCAATACATACAGTTTATTGTTATGGTCAAAAGACCAGGATAAGGAATATAGAAAAATAAACACACAGAAAAAGAGTTCATATATAACCAGAATTGAATAAATTTATAAATTTTCTGTTTTAAAATAGTTCTTGTGTCTCAGACTGTGGTTCATCGTTAGTTGTATTTGTATCTTTCCAAGTCTTTCAAACCTCAGTCTGATCACAATTTTTATTGTTCAGGTATTTGTAATTGGTGCACTTCTGTGTTAGTCCTGTCCTGTCTCTAAGGGACAGTTGTGACATTCTTAGTCTTTCACTGCATTTAATGCTCTATATCAGTCCATGACTTGTTAGCAACCGGGCTGCACAATTGGTGATGGCAGCCAAGTGAGCAAAACCAAAACCATCTCCCCAGAGTCTGTGGAAAAGTTGTCTTCCACGAAACTGGTCCCTTGTACTAAAAAGGATCACTACTCTATATGGAGCCAGAGATGATAGAAAGGAATCTCTTGCTGCATTTTAGGAATTGCTGCATCTCTTTGCTGCATTTTAGTTTCTTGACCTCAGTACTTTAGGAGCAGATGTGGGAACAACAATCCCAACATCCGTCCCTGCTGACCATGCTGTCTTGAACCCTTGAGAATATAGTTATGATCTAACAGTTTGGTTGTATCTGTCCTCCTTACTCCTGTTAGGTTCATTTCCATAATAATTCATTTTCAAAAACAAAATATTTTTGTTTTAATTGACTTTAGTCAAATTTGGAAGCTATTTTTATTTTGCAGGCGCCGACAATATCTGGATAGATCACAAAACTGTAATATTCTTCGTAAGATGCTACTTGTGCATATTACCCAATTTTTCAACATTTATAACACAGACTGAGACCCAGGGCAATATAGTTTCTATAGCTTTGGAGGTAACTGCTAGACCCTTCTCAGAACTTACTGTCAAATTGTATACTTTAATCTAATCAAATGGAAAAATATATTGAAGAATAACTCTAGTAACTATGATTACTTGATTTAATTTTCATTACAATAAATGTGTATAAATCAGATTTGGCTTTTATTCTAGCCTCACCCACTTGGGGATATGTGTCATCCACTATGTTCTCCCTCTCTCATGCATCCTTGATTTAAATTCAACTGGTACAACTTGTATCAACATATGCATAGTACTAAGTAAAGGTCTACCATATATTTTCTCAGTGGACAACTGTTTGTAGATGAAGAACTTTGGACCCAGAGTAGAAGAGATTATTATCAAATGCCATATTTGGCAGGGAGAAAGGAAAAGGAATTCCTCATTGTTTTCTTCTGCCTAATAAATGGTTCTTCTCTGTTCATAATATTTTTTCCTATAGATGTAAACGCTTTTTGAGCCATAGAGAAGAAAGGCTAACTTGAGCTACTAATTTGCTGAACATATAAACATGAAAAGAGGTCACATTGCATGTAAAGTATACTCTGCAAAATAAAGCTGTTTTCCCCCACACATGAAACCATTCTTCTAATTACACATAATTAATTCCTCAGTTCTAACAGTAATGGGTGGGATTTCAGTGTAGACCTAATGGAAAAAGAAGATCTGTAACCTTTAGAAATGCTGTCATTTATTTTACCCATTGGACAGTTGTAGCCTTAATCTTAAGCAAAAGCAAGTATATAAGGAAAGACTTGACAAGATTTTTTTTTTAAAGTATTTCAACCAAATCTCACTGATACTGAAATTGTTAAGATAAGTTGCTTTCAGAGGGTCTTTGTTTCAACTACATTTTGTCACAGCAATTGATTGATTTTGTTCTTTTTAGAACTCTAGTGCGGATCATAGAGTTCGTCTGGACCTTGGGCTTTGGGACAAATTCAGTGAACTTGCAACAAAGTGCATTATTAAAATAGTGGAATTTGCGAAACAATTGCCTGGTTTCACAAGTTTGAGAATTGCAGACCAGATCACACTACTTAAGGCTGCTTGCTTGGACATTTTGGTATGTAACTTGTCTCTTTACAGTATTCTGTTGACTTTTGCTTCCAATAACCAGTATATTCAGGGGAGTCTTGCTGATCATTACTGGTAATAGAAAGATAATGGGCACAACAACCTTCGTAGAGGGATGGGTTAGGGTTAGGGTGCTCATACTTTGCTCTAGTAAACAAAAGCTGCTCAAAAGAGCTGTGACTAGTCATTTCCCTATTCCCCTGTATCTATCCAATCAAGTTCTAAGGAGAGACTGTGTCAATTTTAAACAATTGGAAATGGAAACTGAGTGCCTTTCCTCTTTCCTCTCCCACGATTAGAGGCAAACCAAAGGGTCAGAAAGAGAAATACTGCAGAATTGAAGAATGTAGTTTTTCTGTTCAGAATTTGTAGCACTAAGATCCAAAATATTTCCCTTTTTAAAGTTCAGGAACTTTAAAATTTGGAGCTTATAAATTTGTGATCCCTAGTAAATGTTGTGAGAGTTCATATGTATGTGATTAATCATTTTTTTAGGACAGAATGGAGAATCTGTGGCTCTGCAGATGTTCCCGAACTACAATTTCTAATATCATTAGCTCTAGCCAATGGTGAACAGTGCTGGGAGAGTCCAGCCACAATTAAAGGACCATATATTTCCTATCTTTTCTTTAGGGTAAAGTAAGTAATACAGAATTAATTCCCCAATATCTCGCTTGCCTCAGAGTTTGGTTTGTACAGGAATATTGCCCACTAAAATAATTCATGTTACATTGTCAGAAATCTATAAAGTTTAGTTGAAAACAAAATCCTAGGGAGGGGAATATGATAAGTACTGTAGCTTCTTTTCCTTTTCTTTTTTTTATTTAAAGATTTTTATTTTTTAAGTCAAACATCTACAGACAAAAACATAAAAACATAAAACTATCTTCCAGTTATATACATACAGTGTGTCAGTTGGTTACAAATCTTTTGTGCTATTCTTTCATAGTCTTTACTCACAAGTTATATAGGTTCTCAAATTGTCAATCTAGCATATGCTTATATATTTATCAGTTATTAATCATTCATTTGACTAAACTATTATTCCATCATTTTATATGAGATATTCTAGATTTTATTATAAATTTATATTATACATTTATCCAATGGTTATATATTTTGTATTATATTCTATATCAATCTATTGATCTTCTATTACAAAACTTAGTCTATTTCATTGCCATGTCTTTTTATCTAGCCATTGATAAAATAAGTCCCATATTATATAACATTGTTTATCTTCTTGTTCTCTAATTTCAAATGTAATTCTCAGTAAAAAATATCTCTGGTTTAAAGTCTATGTGTTGTTTTATCATTTTTTCCAACCATGTGTGGATTTCAGTCTAATATCTTTTTGCATCCGAACATGTCCACCACATATGGTAATATGAACCAGGTATCTGATGACATTTCCAACATTTATCCGATTTGTTCTTAAACATTCTCGCAATTCTCGTCGGGGGTAGATGCCACCTGTAAAACATCTTATACAAATTTTCTTTATAAGCAGTTGACATTGTCATTTTATAATTTTGAGACCACAATTTTTGCCATTTCTCTAAATCAATCCCATATCCAAAAATTTTCCCCCAAGCAATCATTGTTCTTTAATTTGTTCTTCCTCTAATTTAAATTCTAATAAATGTCCATAGAGTTTTTTAATTACCTTTTCATCAGTACCCATCAACATTTTATCTAAATCAGTCAACTTATCATAGAAACCTTCTGTTTTAAGATCTTTATCAAATCTAGATTGTATTTGTGCATATGAAAACCAATTCATTTTTATACCTTCTTCTTCCAATGCTTGTATAGATTTAAGTTCACCCTTTTCATTCAATATTTCACCATATCTAACTGTTTGTTCCTTTTTATATGTTATTGGATAAGAAAAAGCTTCGATAGTGGACATCCATAATGGAATTTTAAAATAATATTGCTTTTTTATCTTCCCCCAGTAAAAACAATGCCTCTTGAATATAATGTCTTCTAAAATACCCCTGTGTTTTAGTTCCCTTATACCAGAGGAAAGCATGCCATCCCAACAGCAAGTCACGTCCTTCTAGGGTCAATAATCTACTGTTCCTTAATGTTATCCATTCCTTTACCCACATCAAGTTTGTCACCTGATAATATAATTCCCAACTGGGTAAAGCGAATCTTCCTCTTATTCGTGCATCTTGTAACAGTTTAAGTTTTATTCTCGCTTTCTTTCCCTGCCAAATATATTTTAACATTATTTTATTTAGATCTTCAAAAAACTCTTTCCCTAATCTGATTGGAATTGTCTGGAATAAATATAAAATTCTAGGCAATACATTCATCTTAATTGTAGATATTCTCCCAATCAATGATAATTGCAAGTTTTCCCATTTTATCAAATCTGTCGCAACCTGTTGAGTTTAAGATAGTTATCTTCCTTCAGTGTACTGCATCTTGCTGTTATATATATCCCTAAATGCTTAACCTTATTTGTGACCTGGATTTCCAAGACTTCCTCTAACTCTTTTGTCTTGCTAATATGTTCTTTGTTTTATCTTTATTTATTTTCAAACCTGCTACTTTTCCATATTCTTCTATTCTTTCTATTAATTTAGGTGCTGTTTCCAGTGGGTCCTCTAGTATAAATACCAGGTCATCTGCAAAGGCTTGCAATTTGTACTCTTCCTTTTTAATTTTCATTCCTTTTATTTCTTTTTCTTCTCTAATGTTCCTATTCAGCACTTCCAGTGTCAACACAAACAACAGAGGTGACAGTGGACAGCCTTGTCTAGTCCCTTTTCTTATATCTATGGAATCTGTTAACTCTCCATTTATCATAACCTTTGCAGTTGCTTATAATATATCATTTCTATGGCTTGAATAAATTTTTTACCAAAGCCCATTTGTTCTAGTTGTAGTAACATGAATCGCCAACTCACATTGTCAAAGGCTTTCTGCGTATCTAAAAACATCAGAGCCATTTGCTTTTCAGAATGTGCCTCATAATATTCGAAAGTATCCAGAATTATTCTCATATTATATTTTGTTTGTTTCTTTGGCAGAAATCTGTTTTGATCAGGATGAATAAAGTTATTTAAATATCTTTTCAGTCTTTCTGCCAAAATTGAAGCAAAAATTTTATAATCTGAATTTAATAGTGATATAGGTCTGTAATTTTTAACTTGCTGTGGGTCTGTATCTTCCTTCGGTATAAGTGTAATGTATGCTTCTGACCATGTTTTGGGTATTCTCTTCTTTGACATAACTTCATTCATAACTTCTAGTAACTGAAGATTCAGTGTTTCCTGAAATGTCTTATAAAATTCCGCCGGCAAACCATCTGGGCCTGGTGCTTTTCCAATGTTTTTTTTTTAAAGCTTCTGTTAGTTCCATCATCATTATGTTCCCTTCTAACATTATTTCAATGTCTTTGGGTATCTGGGGTAAATTCACCTTCTGTAAATATTGCTTAACTTTTTCTTCTTTAATATTCTCTTGATAATACAATTTTCCATAATAATCTTGTATAATTTTTTTTCTCATTTCCATAGCAGACATGTCCTTATTCATTTGTTAGTTGGTTTGTCCTTCTTGATTCTCTTTCCTTTCTCAATTTATAAGCTAACCATCTGCCTGGTTTGTTTACATCTTTGAAATAATTCTGTTTAGCATTTTAAATTTTTTGTGCTAATTCCTCTTTTTCCATTAATCCCATTTTATGTTTAGTTATATCCATTTTAATTTTAATGTCTTTTTTGTGGAGATTTCTGTAACTCTTTTTCCAGTCTCTTATATTCATCTTCCAGTGTTTTAAAAGTTTTTTTCTGTTTTATATTTCTTTTTCTTGTATATTCTATTATCAAACCTCTTGTGTAGGCCCTCATCTTGTCCCAGAGATTCTATAAAGATGTATCCTCTTTTTTATTTTCTTTAAAAAGGAAAACCAATTCTCTCTCAATTTTCTGTTTAAAGTCTTTTTCCTTTAATATCATATTATTTAAAGTCCATCTAGATCTCCTCTTTTGTCCTTTCCATGTAACAGTCATTGGATTGTGATCTGCCCAAGTACTTGTTTCTATTTTGATTTCTTGTATGTTAGAAAACAATTCTGTTGACATCCATATCATATCTCTTCTAGACCATGATGCATGTCTATTTGAATAAAAAGTATATTCTTTATTTTCCACATTTCTCTCTCTCCATGCATCTTTTAAGTTTATTTCCTTTATATCATTCGGGAGAAGGATTTTGGCAATGTCTTTCTAATTTTCTTTGTTGTTTTCTGTGTTTTATAGTCCAATTTATCATTAATTATTCCATTAAAATCTCCCATTATACAAATATTAGCATAGTCCAATTCAATTATTTTCACATGTAATTTCCTGTAGAATTCTTCTTGGTTATTGTTTGGAGCATAAATTGCTATTAAAAGTGTTTTTACATTATTGTCCATTATCTCCACCATCAAAATCCTTCCATCATCATCTGTATAAATTTGTTCTGTGGGGATTGTATCTCTAATGTATAAGGCTACACCTCTTTTTTTACATTGTGTCAATGATGTCAATAATTTCCCTAATTTTTGTTGCTGCAATATATATTCATGTTGTTATTAATATGTACTTCTTGTAGGCAGATTATATAAAACTTTAATTTCTCTAGTTTATGGAATACTTTTCTTCTTTTAGTGGCTAAATTAAGACCATTTATATTAATCGTAATCTATTTTCTCTCATCCATTTTAGACTTTATAAGAAGGATTTGTTGCTCTAGTAGATTTTGGTTCTTGTTGCTCTCTGGGTACCCCACCTACTGCTCCTTCTTTTTCAATTGCTGTTATACACTCTCTTCAAATTCGATTAGCAACTCTTCTTTTCTTGTATCTTCCTCCTTTTCTCTAAAATATTCTAGATAGAATAGCTCAGTTGTTTCAACTGTGTCAATTCTGTGTCTTTGTTCCTGCCAGGTGAACATGAGACCTTCTGGTATTAACCAGAAGGTAATTTA